ACACACACACACACACACACACACACACACACACACACACACACAGAGTTTGGTCAAGATAAATAAGATATTTTATTCTTTTGCTGTGTAATTGTAACAAAAGGGCTGTAGTGTAGTTTGATGATAAATGCAGAGAGAAAGACTGGAGATTAGAGGACTAAAGCTGCATGCAGATTCAGACAAACACATAAGAAGAAGCAACATTATAGCCTACCTCCCAGCCAGAGGCCTGATTGACAGGGAAACAGAAAACACAGGTAGAAGAAAGGTAGTTAATTTTTTGAACCTCAGTATCCTTTACTCTCTAACTGATCACTGGCTAGTCCCAAGGGTATGTTTGAAGTGAACATAAAGTATGTGTTCTTTAGGACTAGGGTTGGGAAGAGTGTTAATTCTGCAATGCAAATTCCCTCCCCTTCTTAATGGGGCAGCTAGAAATTGGCTTTTTATACCTAGCTTCATTCTGTCTATCCCTAAGATCTCAACAATGAAAGAAAATCAATTCTGATTGAGATCTGACCATATAATTAACATAGTAATTCCAATTTGTGACACGTAAATATTTATCACGATGCTGGCTCAGGGATAAAAAACTGTATTGGCTGAACAAGCTACCTGAAATTAGCATGGTTCTCATCAATTCCTAACTGCATTTTCTACCCTCATCCATATTTATACAATGAAATATATAGAAATAAATGGAATATTTATGAAAAATTGAGATCTACAAGTGTTTATTTCTCTGCCTGTCCATTTTTCTTCATGGAATCTATGATATGAAACAGTGATATCACAGTAAAGCCATATGCCTCATTTCCCCTTCAAGGAACTTTTTTAGTCCTGATATTCAAACTACTGCCACATAACTTTAGCTGTGAAAACTTTTAATAAAGTTATCCAAATGGATTCAATACTTTGGTCCTCAACTCACACTAACTTATGGCTTGTTTGGTTTCTACTTCATGAATGGAGTCTAAACATTTTGGCTTATTTTATAGACCCAAAGAATCATAAGATGTATGTGTCTGAAAGGACCATATTAGTTATGTAGCTCAGTTCCCTACTCCAAACAGGAATTCATTAACCATGCCTAAAAAGTAGAGATCCAATCCCCACTTGAAAAATTACAGTATAAGGAAGCAGAAGCTCCATTTAACAGCTCTTATCATTAGAGAACTAATCCAAATATCCAGCCTAGGTTTTCATTTCAACCTGCTGGTTCTTATTCATCTCTCCATTCTAATAGAAAACCTGGCACCAATCTTGCACATGGTTAACTACTGTGTATCTGTGAATAAGATTTCTTTTTTGCAAACTGAATGTATTCCAGCTTTACCATTATTTTTTTAAAGTACAATACTTAGAACTGAATGTAACAAGCCAACAGTAATCTTACCAGTGCAGTGTGTAATGGAATTATTTCCTACTAGCTGAATAGCCGTGCTTCATGATGAAACTATGAGATCAGGCTATGCAGGAGAAATTTGGTTCACAATCACTTGGTTCAGTGGTGATTGGTGATTGAAACACATAAGAGTTTCCTTTCCTTTCCTGTCCTGTCCTTTCCCCTTTCCATCCTCCTTTCCTTTTTTCTTCTTTTCCTTTCCTTCTTTCCTTTCTTTCCCCTTTCCATTCCTATCCTTTCTTTTCCTCCTTTCCTTTCCTTCTTTCCTCCTTTCCCTTCCCTTCCTCCTTTCCTATCTATCTATCTATCTATCTATCTATCTATCTATCTATCTATCTA